TTTGTTGAAAAATATTCCTTCCGCCATGATTCTTATCCTTTCAGAAAGGATAAGGACAATTTTGGAAACTAACCATCGATTTGCCAACTTTTCATTACTGTTGAACGAATATCCTTTCTTTTTTTTATTATCTTACCACAGTCTCACTTACAATCAATGGTTCAATAGTGGGCCTAATTGCGGAAACCGCCCAGGAAAACTGACCTGGTGGTAAGAGATCACTGTTACCCAAAGACACCTGCAACACCAGGAGCATTACAAAATGCGATGCCGGCCTTTAAAGAAGGAGTACGCTCTTTTTATTTTCGGATATCGGTCCGGAAACACTTCCTACAGACCCCAGATCCTTGAGACCTTTTAAAGGACCCCCTTAAAAACAGGCATTTGTGCAAGCCGATAAGGTGGGGATGGTTGGTGTGGCAATTCTTACGCTGCACCAGCTATCTTCACGTCTGGCCTTTATCATGACTTATCACTAGGTGGGATAGAGTATTTACCTACCTTACTATGTATATCAAAAAATAGTGGGATGAGTTTACTGGCCGCCGCACTATGGGAACTTTGACTCATTTTCATCTCAAAAATCTATAACTCCTGTGTTAATAAAGATATCATCATGATTTTTTTTTCTGATAATCTTGAATATATTTGCTTTTAAATAATGTATAATTTGTGTATAAAAAATTATTTATAATAGTTACAAAAAATAGGAAAATAAAAAATATACGATTTTTTAGACTTACATCTATGTTTTAATAAGTTTATAAAGGTAAGTAGTAAATGTTACTGCTTAAAATTAAAAACAAACATCATAGTAGCTCAAATGTCACTTAAGAGCTTCTTTTCTTCATCAAAAAGTTCTAAATATTTTTTAGTGCAAGGTTTTCTCAAACTTGTAATTTACGGATCAGAGGTATACAATATTGTGTAGAACATCTTCGTTTCTTGCATGATGAAGCTTGAACTGTTTGTAGTTTTTATTCCGTGACTCTTGAGCATCTTCTAAAAGTTGCCCAAGAGGCAATACCGAAAAATGACCTATGACACTTTCACCACGCATCAAAACCTTGTCCACGGAAGATGGCACATAGTACAATTTATATTTATTAACATCAGTTGTGCTTAATCAAATCCCAACTCCAATTTCTGTTTTGGCTTAAGAACTGTTCTTTCTATCGACTTGCTTTAGTACAGCGTTGACGAAACTGAGTTATGAAAGACTTCTGAATACTTACGATAATTTTAGCAATATTTGCATCTGAAGATTCGGTGAAATTGCTTCGTATATATAGTAAGAGATGGAAACACCATAATTTGAATCACTTTCAAACAATAAGAGACTTAGGTTGCGTCTGGTACACGAGAACTGACTCATCGCGGCAAGATATTTAAAAAACAATTATTTACGACAAAAATTAATGAAGAACTGTAATATTTCATACTCAAATGCACTATTTTATACCGAAAAAATATGGAAGACGTGTGCAAAATTAGTAGATATAAACTATTTTACAATTTTGCGGTTTTGCGATTTTTCATGATTCTTATGGGAATGGGATCTAAATATTATGTGAAATACACGATATTAGTATAGCATAAGATAAAAAAAATATAACAAAAGGGCCAAGGGCCTTTATTTAAATTCCGTGCTGAGAAACCCCAAATCAGGAGTCTTATTAAACGTACCTAAAAATATATGTTTTCACACGCTGATATTCTAAGACATTTGACAATGTTATCCACTGATACAGCAGAAAATATTTGTTGTCGTCAAATAATATTGTATTATCTAAGAAATAACACAAAAAACAGAACTTCGGCAAGCTTCGGCAAATTTCAAAACTCCAACTGAAAGTTTAACAAACGAAAATAGTGTGGACTATTTTATTTTTAATGGAATAATATGAAAAAAACTGCATATATTTAAATTTTATAGAAAAGAAGACATTCTAAGTTTTCTAAAATGTTATCACACTTACATGACTTCTTCTGTTATCTATCTAATATATAAAATTCTCGTGTCGCGGTGTTTGTGGTTAAACTCCTCCGAAACGGCTTTCCCGATTCTCATGAAATTTTGTGTGCATATTAGGTAGGTCTGAGAATCGGACAACATCTATTTTTCATCCCCCTAAATGTTAAGGGTAATCCACCCCTAATTTTTTTTTTCAATTTTAGATAATTTATTTTTAATTTTTTTTATGATACATCATTCGAAAATACATACAACCCTAAATTTTTACCCTTCTACCACCAACCCCTATTTTTTTATGGCGGTAAGAAGTTCGCTGGGACAGCTAGCGATCCTATAAAATTATACCAAACTAACTGAAATCATATTATTATTTTTGTATTTTTTTCATTCCCTGACTTAAGATGTTCTTCTGTATGAAATACGAAGAGTCAGAGACTTAAATTATATTGATTATAATATAGTAACTCCTTAGCTATAATTTGATGTATATAGCTATAATTTAATACATGCCTCGAATCACAGTTACGAAAAAAGCATTTATGAGATGGCTTTCTTAGGCGGGTTCCCATAGTGCGCCGGCTGCAATCAGACGCCAATTGGTTATTCAATAAGTGTAATAAAGTTGATATAGTAACATTATTTCTAATAGCAATTGAAAAACACTTAATTCTTATATTTCTATACAACACCGACCGAAACCCTTGACCTTATTTTTTCCATTGTTTTTCAGCCAGTAAGTAGCCTTTGGTCGACGTTTTCATTCACTTAAAGGAGATTGCTCAGCTTCCATGCATGTTTGGCCTAAAGACCAATAATCATGAAAAATTGTTTCCTAGATTCGAAATTATATATAAATTACTGTAGAAACGAATATTATTGACGGACACCCCTGAGAACTTCTATAAACCATATACACTGAACATATTAAAATAATAAAAAACAAGTAAGTTATATAGTAACCTTGGGAAATCAAGCCAAGTACCGAAATTATGGATTAGATTCAGGTATATAGAGCATGTAGATTAACAGATAGTTGCCTGTTTTTAAAGTTAATGCATATGAGTAACTTTTAAAATCAGGTGTCATTTCCGGTTATAATAAGGTACTCTGTGACAGAAACTGTGTGATGATTGTGAATGAGCCACAGATTAGAGAGAATTTTTAAACTCGCGTTAAGGCGAAGCTACGAAAGCTAAGAGATTTAGGTACTATAGCCATATATTCAGTAGCTTCATTGTTTTTGTTATGTTTTTAAGATAACCATATTTTAGATTTTTAGCGCATCACACCTTATAATTTTATTTATTTATTAATTTTATAGTCAGGGAACGTAGGTCCTTAAAAAGATACCTTAAAGTCTAACATATATAACAGATTATAATGTGTTTATGGAGGTGTTAGGCGAAAATTGTATGGCAATAGACTTTATGATGTCGCCTACCATCTATAATAATTGTCTGAGCACATTTGCATCTAGTGAAAATGATAATATAGTGGTGGATATTAATACCACAGTGTAATAAAAAATATGATTTATTTTAACGATCTTTACAAAATAGATTTGTTTAGTTTATTAAGGTCAACAAACAGTTTTACAATAAATCTTATTTAAAATATAATAACACCAAGTTTTTATAAATGCAAAACCAACACCGTTAACCACAAGTTACTTTCAATATTTGTTGAGAGTTACTACGTGAGAAAAATTCTTACATAAAAAAAAAAATACATATATATTTAACAATACAATTTTTCGCTTATAAGCCTTCTATGTTATACTAGCTGACCCGGCGAACTTCGTACCGCCTTAGCGTAGCTTTGATGCACTACTTTATTTTGTATAGCTGACCTATCTTATGTATGAGTACCTATTCATTTTTTTTATTTTTCTTTATATTTTTTTCCGTAAGAACCTTGTACAGAGTATTAGAAAACTACAAAAAAAAAATCAGCCAAATCGGTCAAGCCGTTTTCATGTTATGTCATGACAACGGAAAACGGGTTTCATTTTTATATATATAGATAAACAACTTCGATCAGTCTTTGGCTGAATGTTACTACACCCATAGCCATTAAAAATGATTCGTATGTTTTCCAAACCGGTAAAATTAAAAGTCCTTTTTAAAGTAAATATGTTATACAAAGGTGTCCGTTGAAATCTAATGACTGTAAATGAAATTATAAATTACGCCAAGAATTACCGTGTATGTCAATATTTTTTGTGCTCAAATTGGCCGTAATAATTTGAGCAATCTCATCCGCACCTTCTTACCACTTATTAGTAATAATTATCATCATCGCTTTCCATCAGGCGAGATTGTGGTCAAACGCCTTGCCTATTAAGCACAAAAAAAAGGTAAACATATATTTTTGTGTCCTTATCTGTATTCTTATACCTTTGGTTGCTGCTGGCCCTGCTGTGATCTGATCTTTTTTTGGTGTTTTTTGTGTATTTGTTTGACCTTGTATACTTGTATTGATTCTCATGCAATAATGAGTAGATAAATAATGAAGGCTCTCGAAACTTTTTTTTGGTGCCTAGCTAGACCGACCGCTCCACTCGCTTTATCCTAGGGCCGCCGGCGCTGTTTATATGGGAAAATTTTAACCTGCCTAACCTAAATTGCCGTGGCTGTTTCAATTTTTAAATTAATAACTTAATTTTTCTATTGATCTTTACTTATAATTGTAATAAAAATTTTGAATTTAATAAAATATCACAATTGAGGATGGACTCAATTTATACTTTTTCAATTATATTTTTGAACAGAATTTTATGAAATGAATGGATACAAAAATGGGGATATTTTCCGTCAGGAGGTTACTACAAAATCTTAAATGTTTACGTGTTTACTGCGACGATAAGTTTTAGAATCCATCATCATTTTTCCTGCGGGCATTTGGAGAGGCCTATGTCCAGCAGTGGACTAAGATGGGCTGTTGATGATGATGATGACTGCGAAAATAGTGTAATGGATTAACACCTATATAAAAAAATCTATAACAATAATTTCCTTTTCGACAGATGGCGACATGTCATCGTGTGGCTTTCAAGGATCATCAACAATCAATATCGACTTAGACGAGGCAAATAGTCATTATAAATGTGGCCATCTGGCCATGACTTATACAGGGTTGTGTATTCTATTGGCGCTTGGCGATGATCTATCTAGGATTAACAGGAAAGCTTTGGTTGCTGGTAAGAATTAGCTCATACATTAATTTGTCAAATTACCTTTTATGCAATTGTACAGAAATATGTTTCTGAAATGGCATCTCGTCGGAGAACGATATCATAATATAATCATCAAATTTGCTAGGGCACTGGCCTTCCCTATAGACGGAATAGAAGAACAGGTCATGACCCTCCACGTGGGCCCAGTACGTATTTGGAGGGTTCTAACTACATTAGAGGCCCAAGCATGAATTTTTGAACAGTTATATAAAGCGAGATCATCAGCTTTGTTTCATTATTCCTAACGTTTCGGTGCCTTTACTCAGGCCCAAGCACACAAGCACGACAACTCCGTAATCGTATCCTCATAGATCTTCCTGCGAGCTGGATGATGGTAGCTCGGGGGCCGCGGCCCGACCTATGTTGGTCGGGCTTTGTATTTATGGAGTGTTAGTCTCTTAAGATCTCTTGCACGATGTGATGTAGGCTTCCATACGTTGTGAGCGCAGCGCCGGTATCGCCATCTCTTGAGGAGGCGAGCAATAGGCTAGTTGACTCATGTCGATTTGTATTAAATTAATGTTTATTTCTTAAAGTATTTGGTCTAAGGAACCTAAATATATCGATTTGACTTCATAAACGCAGAAGATTGCTGTATAAAGGACAATGCCCATTTTTCTTAGGAGATCCGTACCAACTTGCATCAAGCCAAATTTACTCTCAAGAGTTTAGTTTTTATTTAACTTTTTACTATCAGAAATATTTTGTCAATGTATAACCACATTTTAGAAAAATTTACATAAGTTGGAAACGCCTGATGATAACATTTTTAGTAATTTTGAATCAGCGTGATTATTATAGATGTCCCAGGTACATTGTAAGAGCCGTGATATTATATTATGACTAGTTAAATTATAATTAGCTTAGCAGTGTTATAATAATTTCAACGCCGGCTGGCGTCTACAGAGTCACTGTCTCGACACGGCACTTCAAAGTCACTATCTCGATAATCCACAAAAAAAAGCCACTATCACATCACTGTCAATAATTATTATAGACGTGGTGAATTAATTAAACGATAAAACTATCAGCTCGACTAAAACGCAGCAAGAATAACATCGATCAAACAAACATCATCACAACAAAAACGAAATTGACATTGACACTGGCAGTTCCGTAATTAAGCGTTCCGAATCGCCATGAATGTATAAGTATTTTGAGTTTCGAAAATACGCAATGTTTACTTAATGAAATGGTGAGATAAAATAAAAGGACGTAAAAGAATTACACATTTTATTTTCTACTTTAAAATCTTATTTACTTATACAATGGCTAAAGCTTATAAGGTGAACAAAGATTTTTATGTTTCTTGTTGCACCTCAGAAATAACAGACAACTGTTATCGGAACGTGCAAGATTTCGGAAATGTCCTTTTGACATACGACATAATTGCTAATTATTTAGCATCATTTATATGTTTTTTTTAAATGTGGTTAAAACAACGGTTAAAAGTCAGTACATATTACACATAAATAAAATTATTTATTTGGTGTAAATATATCTATGACGCAATTTGGTACGGGGTATGGGCATTGTCCTTTAATTTTAAAAAAATGGGTGCGTGTACTTATGTAGGCGCGTGAGAAGTTATCCTTCTTTGGCATCGTTTAAAATTAGTTTTTAATTGCATGCAAATAATTAATTACAATAAATTAATAAAAAGTTTGGAAAAGGACACAGTCAATAAAGTTCAGTTTTAATTTGAAAAAATAAATAAATAATCAAAATATTCAATTAAAATCGCTACTGAATATAATTTATTAGAACATATGTGATTTGCACTTGTATGAAACTCAAACACGTATTCCGAATATACAAACTAGAAACATGTGGATAAATATTATAAATATGAATACCTATAACTGTTACTTTATTACAAAAAATAAAAATGTGGTTTTTGGTTTTACTACAATGGTCAAGAGATGGCGCTGTAGTCTCCTGAATCGCGCTTTGGTTCCGTTGTTCCAGATTAATAAATACTTTTTGTTACTTTATTACAAAAAATAAAGATGTGGTTTTTGGTTCTACTACACCAATGGTCAAGAGATGGCGCTATAGTCTCCTGAATCGCGCTTTGGTTCCGTTGTTCCAGATTAATAAATACTTTTGATAGGCCTTCACAACGCAGTCGTTAGCACCCACTAAATAGAGATTCTATTTCTATTTTGTTGGTAGATTTTCTTAATGTGCGGTAAACACAAAAGTACATGCTGTTAAAATTTTGTGTTACAGTGATGCACGCGCATCTTAAAATTTCACTCTCATCATTTTTTCATAACGCGCCTAAAGAAGTATAACTTCAAAAATAATTTTTAGTCTATACTTTTTAAACACTAAAACGCTGTTCGCCACATCCGCCATGATAGTGACGTCTCTTTGGTAGTAAACAACTAAATGTCATTCATACATAACCTTAAAACTTGTATTATTAAAACTGATAATAAATGAAGAGACTTAAAATATTATTCAATAAGTACTTACAACAAAGTGATTTTCGCAAAAATATTTTTTTACTATGAGTCGATAAAGTTGCAGGATCCCTTTTAGCAAGTTCTAACCAGGTATTGTGTATGTAATTTCTTTAGGCACTAATCCACAACTTTCCTGGAGTCTTCAAGGATGTGTTTTTACATGCTCGAACAATACAATAATGATAATTACTATATTTTTCGTGGTATTTATAAAAAATCATGTTTTTTTGTATTATAAACTCAGATATGTTATTTTCTTCGTGCTTACGAGTTTTTGTTTACTACTGGTTGACGTCATAGCAAAGATAATCTATAGACTAAAATGGCCGACAGCGTTTTTGTATGTCCATGAAAACTCTATTTTAAAATTAAAGATTTGTAGCTTTCTAGGTCTCAAAAAAATAAAATACATTTTTTTCGGTCTAATAGAACATTTAAAACCTTTTCCCAAAAAGGTTCAACTAGCCTATTATTTCTTCCTTGGTTAATTATATGTGGGGCATGTAGATGTCGCCGCCACACTTAGTATTCATAGAATCTGACAATGCGATACGATTACGGAGCAGTTAATATTCGTGCTTTAAGCCTCTGATGCAGCCGGGACTAACTGCGTAAAAGTTGATGATGATTTTGCTGCATTATCACGTCAAGAGTCCTTTGTCATTCGATATTTGCTTTCATTTGCTAAGAAACAAATGAAACATTTTCACGGAGCTGCAACGAACGCATGACAATAAGCGAATGTGGCCGCTCCGTCGACACAGTTTGTTTTACATGGATATTAAGCTTTGAAACAAAGAAGCCTTAGATTACAACAAAAAACGATAATACGGCACTCGCGGCTCAAAAGTGATCCGCTTAAATTGTGATGCATGACTACAATTCGCTTTACTCACAGTTGGATATTCAAACACGCTGCATGTGCACTCAATATAAAAAATTGCATATATTCTGTATTATAAAGATAAAACAATGCCTTCGATGCTTTTATAAATAACACAAATAGTTCAAGAACAAATAACAAATTTCACGGAAACACTTTTCATTTGTAAAACTATGAAAACATTTTTTTCTCAAAATCACGATTGGCGTGCATGTTATTTACTTTTTCGCATTAGTTATCAAGAAAGGGACAACAATTACAGCTCAGCTTGTAGAGAAAGAAAAGAAAACGGCGAGTACGCGTCACTTGGCTTTGCAAGTGACGCGTACTCGCCGTTTCGCTCGCGCTGCGTTGAAGCGTACAGTTCTGTCTCGCTCGCTCAATTGAATTTTTATTTACAGAAGTGTGCGTGAGTTGCTCGTGTAGTTGATTCGGAGCATATTTTATTTGATTCTAGTATGAGCATACCGTATCTTCCCTTTTTGTTTTAATGTAAGAAAGAAGCCTTTGCCTGGTCTTTAGTACAAAGAAAATATCGATTTTATCGCATTAGGTAACTGACCAGTATCTCCAGTTACTGATAAAGTTTCAGATAGTTATTTGTCATACAACTAAAATAAAATGGTATTAAATAAAGGATTTCATTTCATATTTAACACTATGTAATGCCGTCACTTCTTATGGCTATTTATATAAATTTACTATTTGTACAGATAAAACTTACAGAGATTTATCTGGTGATTTATTTATCAGATGTTGTTTTTTAATTTTTACTTTACTTTTTGTTACGAAGATTTGCAGTTTCTCTATCATATAAGTTTCGATTATGAATCAGGGACTTTATCATATGTTACCATTTGCAGTTTATACTTACCCCGATGGGGCTAACGGGGAGTTTCTGCAACTGGTGAAATCGGCCCTTAGATTTATATTAATTTTTATTTTAGGTGTGAAAGCGTTACAAACTCCCGAAGGCAACTTTTCTGCCACATTGTCCGGCTGCGAGTCGGACATGAGATTTGTCTACTGCGCCGCCTGCATCAGCTACATACTGGACGACTGGTCCGGCTTCAATATACCCAAGGCTACGGAATACATTCTCAAATCTATCGTGAGTTGTTCGTAGATCGATATTACTACCGAATACATACTTAAGTCTATCGTGACTTGGTCTTAGATCGATATTCGACGATATATGCATACTGGACGACTGGTCCGGCTTCAATATATCCAAGGCTACCGAATACATGCTCAAGTCTATCGTGAGTTGTTCTTAGATCGATGTTCGGCGATACATACATATTGGACGACTGGTTCGGCTGCAATATACCCAAGGCTACGGAATACATTTCCAAGTCTATCGTGAGTTGGTCTTAAATCGATATTCGACGATCAATGCATACTGCACGACCTGTCCGGCTTCAATATTCCCAAGGCTACGGAATACATTCTCAAATCTATCGTGAGTTGTTCGTAGATCGATATTACTACCGAATACATTCTCAAGTCTATCGTGAGTTGGCCTTCGATCGATATTCGATAATATATGCATACTGAACGACTGGTCCGGCTTCAATATATCCAAGGCTACCGAATATACGCTCAAGTCTATCGTGAGTTGTTCTAAGATCGATGTTCGGCGATACATACATACTGGACGACTGGTTCAGCTTCAATATACCCAAGGCTACGGAATACATTCCCAAGTCTATCGTGAGTTGGTCTTAAAACGATATTCGATGATATATGCATACTGAACGACTGGTCCGGCTTCAATATACCAAAGGCTACGGAATACATTCTCAAGTCTATCGTGAGTTGTTCTTAGATCGATAGTCCAGTCGGAATAGCCATAATTTGGACCGACTTCTATTCTTAGACACCAGCGCTTAGCTAATTTTTTCCTAGGTAGTATAGACCCACGAATATGCCCTCCATTTGTCCCCGCTAGAACCCGTGTTTTGTAGCCAGGAAAATTGTTTAAACAAAGAAAAACCGTTTTTTTTGAGTTTTTTTGCTTGTAAACGGGGATTTTGAATTTTTTTTTGAATCAGAGTTGTTCATTAGCTTGCCCTCTACAAAATCAGTTCTATGAAAAAATAACGTGAGATTGTTAGTTTAGCAGTAAATTGCAATTATGTCGGTTTTACGTTTGCAACAATTCAACATGTTATAATAAACATTTTGATTTCTAAAGTAGTTTATCATGTGGGTAACGCCACTCCCGAGAGAGTCATGTAAAATTTATCGACCTGTGTCGCAAACTTTAGCAACAATTCTCAATCTCCGAAAAAAAAGTACTTGCCTGTCCCGTCTTTCCCAGAAGGCGCACAGCGGGGAAAAAAATTCAGGTGATTCGATTTTGAGGAATCGATCGAGTAGAAAAAAATCGTTGGTAAAAATGTTCGTTTTTGGACGATTTAAATTTTTAAAAAAAATTTACGTAGAATTTTTTTTTTAAACTAATGTATTTTTCTCTCCTCAATTCGAATATACTATTCTGAATATATAATACTAATATATCCTGAGAATTCCGATTGTGAACCGGAAGAAAAAAGGACGAAATTAATTTAATTAGAAATATAGAATACAACGCAGTCTTGTAATCGAATTTTAGTTAATAGTTTTGTAAATAGTTTCTGTACATAAATAAACTGAATTTTTTAAATTTTCAATCGTATATTCGAGTTGAGGAGAGAAAAATACATTAGTTTAAAAAAAAATATATACTACGTCAATTTTTAAAAAAAAAAAAAATCGTCCAAAAACGAACATTTTTACTAACGATTTTTTTCTACTCGATCGATTCCTCAAAATTCTTGGTGAATCGAATCATCTGAATTTTTTTCCCCGCTGTGCGCCTTCTGGGAAAGACGGGACAGGCAAGTACTTTTTTTCGGAGATTGAGAATTGTTGCTAAAGTTTGCGACACAGGTCGATAAATTTTACATGACTCTCTTGGGAGTGGCGTTACCCACATGATAAACTACTTTAGAAATCAAAATGTTTATTATAACATGTTGAATTGTTGCAAACGTAAAACCGACATAATTGCAATTTACTGCTAAACTAACAATCTCACGTTATTTTTTCAAAGAACTGATTTTGTAGAGGGCAAGCTAATGAACAACTTTGATTCAAAAAAATTTTCAAAATCCCCGTTTACAAGCAAAAAAAATCAAAAAAACCGGTTTTTCTTTGTTTAAACAATTTTCCTGGCTACAAAACACGGGTTCTAGCGGGGACAAATGGAGGGCATATTCGTGGGGGTCTATACTATCTAGGAAAAAATTGGCTAAGCGCTGGTGTCTTAGAATAGGTCTCATGTTTATTCCGACTGGACTACGATGTTCGACGAATATTTCTAGCTATATGTGGACCTGGTGGCAGTATTTATTTTTATGATTTCATCGTCTGACAGAAGTTAATAATATTAGTGTACAATTTCTGCCATTTATTAATTTCTGCAATATCAAAATCGAGTTTGTCAAAAAATAAGTGTCTAAAACGATGTAATCACTTCTGTCGATAGTCTTAATACATTTTATTTAATATAAAAACAAATGCTAGTGGCAGCTTTCCTTGCTGTTTTAGAGTACTTTCTTTTTTCTAATTATTATGATATATATAAAAAAAAATACTTTATCGGCAGGTAGACCAGAATAATTATTAAAATTATATTGTAAGAGATAAAATAATACTTCTGCCATTATGATGATGTTGCATTAATAATCTATTTTGTTGAAAAAAAAGATGTTTAAGAAAATAATAGTAATAAATTATATGATCGTTTCTGCCTTTACATTTACAATTTTGATTATTAATAATAAATATTTCCAACAGACACACCAATTAGTCTATCCCCAAAGTAAACACTGTAAGGCTTGTATTATGGGATGCTAGGGTTACGGATAGAATACATATGCTGTATATTTATATAGAAATATATATTAAACATCCAAGAACGGAGTACAAATGCTTGTATTCATCACACAAACATCTGCCCCCACCGGGATTTGAACCCGGGACCTCTCGAGTCGGCGACACCATGAAACCAGGCGAACAAACCACTCGTCCACGGAGGTCGTCAATTTTATTGGTTATAAGAAGATCTCTTATCTAAATCTATTAGTCGTAGTTAGAATCAACCAGTTGTGAGAAGCATAACAGTGAAAGAGGCAAAAAACGTGGGTAGAGTTTCACCATCAGTTAGATAATGTTTCAAGGAAACTTTATACTGTGGGTACAATACAAATCTGAGAAAAGAAATAGTCTACACCGAGTCAAAGCGAATTATTTGTCATTATTATTAAAAGTTTTGTTTTCCACCCCCAGAATTACGATTTCGGCATCGCCCAATGTCCCGAGTTAGAATCTCATGGCGGCACGACTTACTGCGCTTTGGCGACTCTCAGTCTCACTAAACAACTAGACAAATTATCCGAAGAACAAGTGGAAGGTCTCAAACGTTGGCTCCTATTCAGGCAAGTAGACGGCTTCCAGGGAAGACCTAATAAATCTGTCGACACTTGCTACAGCTTCTGGGTGGGCGCTTCCTTAAAAATACTAGACGCTCTACATATGAGCAACTACGGGAACAACAAAAAATACGTTTACGAAACTCAAGATTGTGTCGTTGGTGGTTTCTCAAAATGGCCGGACACTTGCACGGATCCGATGCACACATATTTAGGACTCGCAGGCCTCAGTCTTATAGGCGAAAACGGGCTATTAGAAATCGTTCCTACTTTGAATATAACCAATAGGGCGTTCGAACATTTAAAGGCGATACACCGAAATTGGGCGAACGAATCATAGCTTAGCAAATAGATTTTATACCTACGAAATTTGTAAAGAAACACGCTTTCCACAAGTGATCATTTATATTTTTTATTATTGTTTTTTTTTTTATATTGAATCTTTCTTTTTATTTTTTATTTTATATTGCGAGTTTGTGATTATACTTTGTACGTATATTTTTTGTTTTGGTTTTGGGAAGGTAAACACTGATTTAAGGTAATATTTTTTTATTAAATTATAATATTCAATATTACATGCTTTAAAAGTTCTGTTTCAAGGGTTTCATGGGGTAGGGCCAGCGTAGGTAGCGCAATAGTGATAGTCTGGTATACATCCCGGCAAACTTCTTGATCAACGACCATAGAAAAAGAAGCCTGCGCAGTAGCAATTTTACATACAAAAACGTCTGCTGCGCAAGTTTGTCTATGGTTTTGCCCAAGAAGTTTGCCGCGACCTTTATTGCTAGCAGTGGTGTCTGTGCTATGATATGATAGTCGCTTTCTATAAGGCTACCAATGACGCGTGATTCCCACCCTATTTCCATTTAAAAATCTAATCTATTAATAATCAATTACTGTAATAAGAATTCATACTTGCCTACTACTCATCACTGCCAATATCAACAACATAATTATCGACTTTGTGAAAATGCATTTTGTTAATTTTGTATGTAATAATGTAAAGTTAAATATATACAATACAGGGTGTAAAAAAACATTATGACGATGACTAAAACTACGCACTCTGTGCACCGAAACAAGTAAATTTACAAAAAGTTATTAGTGGGAAATCATTTTTATTATTAAGTAAAAAAAATACAAAATTTTGCAGCACGGCGCGCTACTGTAGCGCTACGCAACGACTGTGCCTGTGTGCGTGTGTGTGTGTTTGTGTGTGTAAGTGCGTCGATATAACGCGCTTCTCCACTACCGCCTGATTGATATCAGGTATATTGTAATGTTATGTAGTTTCTTTCTCCAGTTCTTGTTCACAGTTTAGACAAGTTCTGAAGAAATGGTAAATTAACAATTAATTTGAGAATTGGTTTATACTTCCACTTTGAATGTTTATTTTAATAATATGTAAACTTGACAAAATGGCAAATAGAATGGTTATAATATATGTATTTCTGATGAACTTACATGGAATACAAACAGAAGGCACAGCTAATGCATTTAATCTGTTATAACGATTTTTATCCTCTTCAGTAAAATGTAAGTCACAGACTCTCTTTTTCGATCGGTAATATTCAAAATCAGATGTAGTTTCCAACTTTCCTCCAGCAAGATGGACCCAAGTACGAAACCGATCAGGATATTTCTCTGGGTCTGGAAAACAATGCATCCTGATTCCTGTAATAAAAATTCACAAATTACTATTTAAAAGCACACATTTTACCATATTATTAAGGAGACAGAATGAGCTCTAAACAAAATATTTTATCTGATGATTTGGAATAAAGTAAGTGCTAACATTCCCTACCGACTGTATTACATACATATAACAAATTATCCTATCTAATGTTTTCTCATGCAAGCAATTGTAATGGTTTTAATAGAGAAATACAGTTTCTTTGTTTCAGTCAATAAAATTAATAGATAAAGACAGAATATACCTGATTTATTTACTGCCAAAGTTCCTACATTTTAAAGACCCCTATTAGCATTTGTTTAGATTTAGAGCTAGGTAGGTACTTTAACTACTTATCGACTATTCGATGTCGTCCGGATCGGCCTCTCGAACCGGATAAGTTGTGACACGAACTGACGACCTTCCACATGCAAGCAAACGCGCACCCGGTACAGAGTATTTTGATGGACGCGCTCCAGTATTCTTTCCCGTACAGACCGATATTTCAGTTCTTCAAATAAGTCAATATTTTTTACGCATTTCACCACTAGTCTGACCAGGGCTGACAAAACATGATCTTTGATGAAACTTAACAGGAAAAAATCCAAAGGCGTGCTGGTACCAAGTCTTCCGCAACTTGGCCAGCGGCATGTCATCTAAGGCCTCCGACAAATAGTAGTTAGTTAAATTTAAATTTGCGGCTCCGTCCATTCTAGGCTGCTTAAACACGGGAACGAGGATCCGGTTCCCCACAATGCCTGTCCATACGATGTGCTTCCACCGCGCCTGGAAGCCCGTTTCTAGAGCCTGGAAGCCTAGCTGCCGTTCGAACGCCTAAACGTGGGTTTTTTATCATAACATCTAGAATGACTTGTTCCGCCGCAGGTCGTATTTACCCGCGCTCACCCTCCGAAACTGGCACTATCGGCTGATTGTCTAGCAAACGTTGTACAGTCCGAACAAAATACTTAATATGCTTTTACTGGCAAAAGTCTCCTTATAGCAAAATATAGTAGTTTCGCCTACTATATTTTTTTTAGAAATATTGTATTTGATCCCCTATGATAGTAGGATACTATATTATGTAGTAGGGTTGGCAACCCTACCGCTGGCCTGCCGGTCAGCGTCGCGTTGCCTAGGCTGGACTGACCAATTACCAATTAGATAATAAGTATATTATTGTTATTACCTACTAGCAAACCAGTGAACCAAATGTTCACCAAAACCTGATTTCTCTAAAACCGGAAGTGCTACGTTACTCAAATCCGGTTTGTAGTCTTATCAGACTATTCTTAACTTATAACTTAAATATTCTCTTTATCTATCTCTTACCGTTTGGCCGCTGAAACAGCACCACAGACAGACGGACTTGTCTAATAGATAAGAGACTAGCAAACCAGTGAACCAAATGTTCACCAAAACCTGATTTAAAAAAAAATGTATTTAATTAATTGAGAACTTCGGAGATTTTGTGTGGTTTCGTTTGAAATTCGTGATTTCTCGAAAACCGGAAGTGCTACGTTACTCAAATCCGGTTTGTAGTCTTATCAGACTATTCTTAACTTATAACTTAAATATTCTCTTTATCTATCTCTTACGGTTTGGCCGCTGAAACAGCACCACAGACGGACGGACGGACTTGTCTAATAGATAAGAGATACTTACTACTTAACAAACATCGTGTTATGCATCGGTAGTGTTTTTTATCATTTTCAATAACTGATTCACTTATTTTGTTGTTATTTTTTTATTGTAAATCGAGATCATTCTTTATTTGTAGTTTCTCCGATATTTTTTGTCTAAAATCCCTGGTCCCTTGTAATTTCTTGTTTTGTAATCTTTTCAAATTCACAGTTCAATGCTAATTCGTATACATTCTTTATAGAATCATCAGTAGACTCGCCTACCATTTGCATTCATCTGTGAAATATCGTTCTCAGAAAAACAAGGTTTCTTCTGGGATTGAAATATTTGTTGAATTTGTATATTTGTTAAATAGTTGTTCCAACTTGACAATTTCCAGACATTCGTCGCCCATGCAATATATCACTTTTCTTTTTCACTTTTTACGTCGGTTAGTAACAATTATTGTTCAAACCTTTGTAACCATCTTGGCTACGAACTGATATCTCGAAAGTTAAATTCCTTAGGAGGATTCACAGAAAGATTTTGGCGAGTCGCTAAATGTGCAACCGGCAATGGTTGACTTCTTGATGAATTCTCAGTTTTATTTGCAATGGTTCATTCATTGAGTTGGTACTTACTATTAATTATTGACACCGCTGCCACCATTTAGAGTTACATTAAAGAGTGGGAACCTGAATTAAAGGCGGAAATATAATAAATGAGACAACCATTTAAGATGCACTTGGAGTCGCGTCCATCTTGAGAAAGCGATATCTATTTGTCATAGATTAAACCACAGAGTAAAGATTAAGCTAACATTACAAATTTCTATCGTAAAAAGGTAAAAGTTATTGAGGTAGAGAGCTACGAAGGTAAGGAATGACGAACCTGTTTAAAAAGATTTTGTCATCTGTTTACATGGTACTTTAACTTTTGAATGAAACATAAGCATATCACACCTGCGTAGGTTGGTTATTTTAAGAGAGGGCACAGCGGATTTTCCCCTCGAAATAAAGCGCCCGTCTGGGGAAGCAATCTCCACCTTACAGAAGACCTCAGTAAAATAACACTACCTTTTGGTGGTGTTGTGTTTCTGTCGGTGAGTAAGGTTGAAGGGCTCCGCGGGGTACGAGATTGCGTTCAGGCCGACATGGTGAGGATGGCTGAAGGGCAAACTTTCTGCCGCATTATCTATCTTCGCGATTGTACTCCACTTACACTTAACATCAGGTGTTTATGGCAAGTGCTAATTACATTTTAATTAATTGGGGTTTTAAACAAGCCTAATAACGTGTAATTAACTAATTTTCACAATTCATTTTACTAAATGCGGCAGCTGATACGTTTTAGTTCGAGAATGACACAAGGGTGCAGTGCGAACGCTGGAGCGCGGAGCACAGCGTGTGTGCATGCGTTGCTGTCATAGAAGTATAAGTATATATTAGGGAAGATATAGACTCTACTACAAGTGGACGTGCCCCTCTAATAGAAAGAGAAAGCAGATAAGAGATCGCTAACTTTTTTCTCTAATCGCGCATGCGCATTGGCAACCGTAACTATTTTACTATTTCGATGTGATGCCATTGGATGCCATGCGTCACAAGAGAGCGAGATAGCTAGCGGTCTCTCATCTTCTTTCTTTCTACTAGACGTACATTTTAGAGCCGCCTTCCCCACTCTATTCTTATACCTCTATGGTTGCTGTACAGTTCTAGCCTTATTATGACAGGAATACTAAAAAAAATATGTTCTTTGGAAAAAAGTTTCTAAATAACGCTTTGAAAATGTTATTGTTAAAATTTTGAACCATAAATTTCCAAGGTAAGCTCCAGAGGATACGAGGCCTTCGTTTTCGTTAAATGTTTTTTTACATCCTGTATTTACTATAAAGGTGAGTGTTAATAATGATGTGCAATACGTAACTATTAAGCGCGTTTTGTACTGTCTCTTCAGATCCTGATTTTTTGTTTCGGTTACATTGCTTTTTACTTAAATACATTTTATATAAAGGGGGCGCACAGATGCAATTCGCTGTTAAAATGTAAGTTTTAAAAGGCACATGATGAATCTTAGAAAACATACCATTTCAGCATTTAATGTTAACAAGTGAATAAGGAAACGCAAGTTAAACTTCAGCAAATGCTGACTGTACATAATGTGTACAAGACTTTAAGTCCCCTTTGTATTATTTGTCATTGAAACTATAAGAAACACTTTCATATTTTAAAATATACTTATCTACATTTATTTTTCAGTATTATTTTACGAAATTTCGCTACTGCATTTATTATGTTGATTTTTGTAACACTTTAGTACTTACTAAGGTATTGTTTTAATAAATAATGAATAGGTGCTAATTTACGAAATTAGGTACCTGGTACCAAACATGTGAAACAACGACTTATTAAATTGTAAGCACACAAATATTGTAGTACAACATCGGTGTAACAAACATTGTGCCATACTTAAAAAACAAAATGGCGGATTATAAATGTAAAATAGTTAGGAACTTTTCAAATTGTTGCACAAATAAAAATTGCTAGTTGTATTTTATTATAAGGTTTCTTAATATTAAATTACATAATTTTGTTAATATCAGCAGGTACCTCGCATATAATTATTTATTTATTAGCAATAAAATTTTTGATCTTAATGTTACTTAAAATTGCTACCATTTATGCCAAAACTGACGTGTCGTTATAAATACAATTATATCTATTCTGGTTAAATTGAAGTTTGTATATGCATAATATGTTAAAAAACTTTATTGACAGTGTATATAAGGTTTACGTCTCGGTTTGCGAGTTTTTGGACCAGTGCCCTATTTCACCAAACCGACATTTATATCGCTGACATATGACGGCTTGGTATCTAATTTTTCTGCTAGTGGTATATCAAAATTTTCTTTGTACGTACTTGTATCAAAGAAGAAATTCTGTCGTTCTTTATAAGTTCTCCTGTATAAGAACTTATCTTTTCAAGCTTTTTTGGATAATTGAGTAGTATTATTGTGTAGAAAGAACGTATACATTCTTGCTAACTTGTGCTGTGGGCCAATTTTCAGGTATCAGGTGGCACAGGCACGTAAAAATTTTACTCACTTTACTTACAATCTGAGGACTGATTCCTATGTATGTTGTAGAGAATGTAAGGTCAGGCGGTCTTGGTGTCTTACTCTATAACGCAAATCTCACACAGCCCCGATTTCGTGTCAAGAATTAAGGACAATTTAAAAAATTAAGTTCGACTTAAAAAATCGTCTTGTTTCACAATACCATTGTCATAGAAGTAAGATACGGACAAATTGACAATTGTAACAAGATACCTGTCATATTTATGACATATGAGTTGGTAAAACAGGGCCCAGTACCATTAGTACGAACCAATATCGAATTGGAATAGTTTTGCGAGTGCGAAATGTCATTGTCAAATTTTGTATGGAAACTTGAACAGAAGCGCCATAACGGACTTAACGAGAACTAAAAATCAGTATACATTTGACAGTGACATTTCTCACTCGAAAACTGTTCGAATTTGATATTGGTTTATACTAAGGGTACGGAAGGCCTATTCGCTAACTGGTTTTTGACAGATGAAAGTGATAATCACCGAGCTATTTAGTGATTGAATACTGCTTTATTATAGGCGAGGAGCCACCAATCCTGAAATCTCCGTCATCACGTATTCTAATATTTTTAATAAAAAATAAAAGTTAACGTTTAGACGAACAAGATTTGCTTGGTCGCACGCCGACGAATTTGATTAGCCGGAAATATTTTAATTAAATTACATATTTATTATTAAATTTCCATAATTTTTTCCGTTATCACGGATTTTGATCATACTTATAAAGAATTTTGTGGGAAATATTATGTTCAACAAGAAAAAATCCGGCCGACCAATGAATGATTTTTGGCCAGTAAGGCCACACATACCTATTTGAAAGGTGTGATAAGGGGTAAAATTTATCCATTATCACGGAAACCTTTTTTTTTTAATTCACGCGTTTTAATGTCATATTTATAATTATCTTGGTATGCGTATCGCGCATACCAAATTTTAACTCTTCGCTTTTCAACGGTTTCTATATTTCTGTAAAGAGTGAGTGAGGCAGATTTTTGGTTCAAGTTGAAACCTTGCATGAGTTCGTCTCTTTCTAAAGGTAAAAAAAAGTGAGGTTGTTCTACGACAGGGCTGCATAGTGTTATCTCTCTTACTCCGGTTTCTTTTCAAGTCCATAAGACTGCTCCAAGAGTAACTGAGATAAGAGTAACATCGAATTTATGTTAAAGTTCCATAGGTCTTTCTTTCTTACTCCGAAAAGGTCACAGCATACCTACGTTGTCCTACAGCATTTTGGGGGTTCAGATCATTTCGACATTTCAGTCTGCTGTTTTCCTAGCTGTCAAAAGTGTCGTTATTTTGTATAGCTTACTACGCATCAGCATTCTAAACATATTCATAAATTTAACAAAATTCACTGTTGAATATTTATAAAAAAAACATTTTTTTTAATTATATTTTTTTAAAATTGACAAACCGTCTAATATTTGTATATTTGATATTTTATATTTTAATATTTTAAACAGATGTTGATTTTTTGGTGATATTGTGTCCATTTTAGTGTTATAGTGACGATTGATTCAGTGTACTTTTGCGTTATAAAAGAACATTTAAAGCACTAGATCCAATCTCAGCGTTTCAGCATAACAATTTCAATATGTAGTGTTTTATTTGTAATACAACAACTTAAGAGAAAATTACTCCGTTTTCTGGAAGGGAAGAAGCTTTTAAAAAATGTAAAAACGTGCTGAGTTTCTGGAAATAAAAAAAATTAAGTATCAATATTTAAGCTTAAATTTCGATGATTTGAACGAAAATGGTTATCATCTCACATTACATATATACATTCAGGTAATTTTCTATGTAATTTATTATATAATCAACCCATATAAAAATTTTCCTGTATTCCCTCTTTTCCATATTAATTAGTATAATAAATAGTTAAAAACTTAAGGAAGAGACTAGAGGTAGAAGAGAGACTTTAAAAGAAATTTCATCAAGTAAGTGAAATCTATAACAGTATAATCCTCACTCACACAATAAAATTTGGTATGCGCGATACTTTCGGCAGTTTGTAAGCACGCATACCAAGATAATTATAAATGTGACATTAAAACGCGTGAATTAATAAAAGAGGTTTCCGATATAATGGATAAATTTTACCCCTTATCACACCATTCCAATAGGTATGCGTGACCTTTCCGGCTAGAAATCATTGGTCGGCCGGATTTTTTCTGGTTGAACATAATATTTCACACAAAATTCTATATAAAATTGAGCAAAATCCGTGATGACGGGGAAAAAATATGGAAAATTAATAATTTCCGGCCAATCAAATCCACGCCGACCAAGCAAATCTTGTTCGTCTAAACGTTAACTTTTATTTTATATTAAAAATATTAGAATCCGTGATCATGGAGCTTTCAGGATTGGTGCCTCCCAGGCTATTATAACGCCACTAAGATACTTGTTCTGAAAAGCATCGATGGATATCCAAATTTTACTGTATTTACACATTTGGCTGATCGTTTCTGCGTAAACTGTATTTTTTACATTATGAAGTTATCGTAGTACACTGCACTTCCGCTGTATTAGAAAAGGTAACGCTTCAGCTGACTTACCTTTTCAACATTTTCTGCAAAGCTAGTTTTATTACACGACTGCCAAAAAATAAGTTTAATGTTTTCAAAGGTCCTTTATGTATGCATGTTTGGATGTAATTATGTCCTAATTAACGACAATTATTCTTGGAGAAATTATAATTTAAAAAAGTATTTTAATTTATAAATTGAAGGCTTACGCAAATTCGATTGAACAACCAAAAACTTGCACTGGCACACTGAAAATAATGTGAAAATCGTCAATTAAATCATTTGCTTATTATCATTATACAGTCAATAATAGATGTAATAAAATAATTGATGTAAAATTATGAAGAAGACCACGTTATGAAAGCTTTTCAAAGCTATTGCTTTGAAAGTCTTGTGCGGTGTTTTGGAGTAATAATGTTTATTAATGAAATATAAGATTGATGTCGGCCAGTGTTCTCTGTTCAGTGTGTAAACTGTTTAACGTGAAATAAATAAATTATTATTATTTTTATTGATATGATATTGAGAAGAAAACCACGGTTCTAAAGCTTTGAAAGTTTTCATATTATTTGTATGTAATGAACCTTTTCAATGTGTATTTGTATTTAAAGTCAACAACAAAATGGTTCTAAGATCAATTAATTAGTTCTTAGAGATTCCCGTCGTGCTTGGTTAGTTGATTCGAATTTGTATAGCTTTTACAAATGTCGAACAAGTTGATTTTTGTTAGTGTTTGCATGTTGCACTGTATATCATATTTTAAGAACATGAGCTAAGATGTCGAAATTATCACGATTTTTACAATCTTATTATTTATTACAATATAACTATGTTTGAAATTTTGCAACTAAATTTCGAAGCAGATGTCTTCAAACGATTTAGATGAAATTTTGTTTACTTACACGTTTAGTTTTGATGACAATGATGTCGATTCTGGCGTGATTCTCTAAATCTAAACTTAAATTTGACAACAGTGTATCCTTCTCATTCTCTATACAAAATGAAAAGGAGTGACTGATCTTAAATTTAATTTTAAGTTTAGATAATCATGCCAGAATCGACACCAATAATATAATTGGTTAGCTACGTAACGTCATTTTGAATCCATCATGGCGGAACACCCAGGACTATTTATTTTTAAGGCACTCCTACAATATATAAATGGCATCAAATGAAAGGGCTTGCTGAGAATGACTCGAAATATAAAGTGAGGTCACTCTAAATCCAATATAGCTGATTTCTCAGGATGGTGGACAAAGTTTTTTATGCTTCCTTACAATATGGGCATAAAATGAAAGGACTTATAAAATGTTGTTTTAAAGTTTTAAGCTGATTAGATCCTAGATAGAACATATTGATCTTATTGTATCTTATTTCTATTAAATAAAGGCGAATATTGTTAGTATTGTAGCGATGTACGATTTTCCTCTTATGTTATTTTGATGTTGACAGTAAATACTTTGCTATTAAAGGCGCACTCCTCGAAGGCAATAGTTTATAATATCTTTTTATATTGTATTATTATAATAACATTAAGATTTTGTAAAATATAAGTTTCTTTTCTATAAGTTGATTCTAAATCATAAGGTAATGTTTGTCAATGCCTTATCTACGTGCTGACATATATGTTTGCATTTATTTATTTCAGTTTCGTTGAATATATATATTTGCATTATAATATATAAATTATGAAAGTTATTGACACAGTGTTTAATTTATTTAATCACTTTCACGCATTGACGTATCTAAAGAAGTAGACTCCCAATCGCGCTCAAAATATGAATAATTTTCAAACGAAATGACGAGTGTTTGGTCAAAAACTGTGCAAATGACACCCAGCTCCGTAACTAATCGTCATCTTCTAGTTTTGTACGGAAAAAGCTAGTTTGATCATACGTCCGATACCGCTTAGTTTGCATAGAAACGACGACGCGATATGTTACGGAGTTTCATTTCACATATTCGTGCTTGAGCCTCTGATCTACACATAAATAACCGGCCAAGTGCTTGACGTGCCACGCGCAGTGTGGGTTTCCGTTGTTGTGTCGTCACCATCATATATTTTGGAAAGAGTCTTTATTTTAAGAAATTACTTCGTCTAAGTCACTTTTAATGTTTTCTTCTATGGAATTATTATTAGGTAAGAATTTTTCTAATATGTACATACATAGTTGAACGACTATTACTCTGAAGTAACAAATCTATTTTAACAGTTATAATTTTCCTTACAAGTTCATGAAAAGCACTAAATTATCATTAATTTTTCCTGGTTTTTCATCCAAATACTTAAGCGTTTAGAGAGGGGGAGGGGGGGTATTTTATCAAAATTTTAAAACTTTTCTTCCATTTTGTCGGCCAGATTGATTAACATCATTTCGAAGTCAACATGAACGATCCCCTGATGGGGGGTTCGCGGAGAAACAAAGGTCCCCCGGCTGACTTTATATTACTGTTTCCAATGAATCTGGAATGGAAACAGATGGATCATTATCTGGGCGTAGGTATTTTGAAACGCAGTCTCTTACACGTATGCAAGCACTGCAACAAAAAACGACGCAGAAACCAAGGGTCAGAAATGAATAGTTGCATTCAATCAATTGTTCTTACTTTTGATCGTCAAATTCTCTCTAACCGGCGTTTTATGTGTTACAAGTCATTGGAGGCATTGCATTCATTGAGGATTTACATATTTACCCAACCATGCAGTGTAATAACTGCTGCCGCTTTTGCCATACAGAAACACAATGTAGATCAAGACCTCGATGTTTCAAGTGTGTTGGAATTTCGACATTTGTAAAAGCTATTCAAATTCGAATCAACTAAGCAAGCACGACGGGCCTCTAAGTACTAATTAATTGATCTTAGAACTATTTTGCTGTCGACTTTAAATACAAATACACATTCAAAAGGTTAACAATAAACCTACAACTTCATCATATAAGACTGTATTTCTAAAGCCTCGTGCACCACCAAAAACAACTTCATGGTTATGATACGGAATCTTACAAGGCTCTTATTAAGGATTATGACTGTCCTTTACCTTCTGATGGCTGTGGGTTCTGTCATCAGGTACAGGATGTAAACATGTCCCAAATGTTTATTAATGACATAATCCAATTACTACTGTCTTTTCTAGAATCTACTACTCCTTCACTGTCCGACGTTGATTCTTTACGAGATTGCTCAAATTGGCCCAAATGTACAAAAAATATTGACATATACGGTAATTCTTGTCGTAATTTATACTACATTTTACAGTCATTAGATTTTAACGGACACATTTGTAAAATATATTCATTTTAAATAGGACTTTTAATTTTACCGGTTTGGAAAACATACAAATCATTTTTAATGGCTATGGGTGTAGTAACATTCAGCCAAAGACTGATCGAAGTTGTTTATATAACATCAAAACAAATCTATTTTTTAAAGATCAATAAAATAAAACTTTTTTTTTATTACACTGTGGTATTAATATCCACAACTATATTATCATTTTCACTACATGCAAATGTGCTAAGATAATTATTATAGATCGTAGGCGACATCATAAAGTCCATTGCCATACATTTTTCGCCAAACACCTCCATAACACATTATAAGGTGTGATACACTAAAAATCTAAAATATGGTTATAATATAAACATAACAAAAATAATGAAGCTTAGCTAACTAAATTAACGAGAGTTTAAAAATTCTGTCTAATCTGTTGCTCATTCACAATCATCATACAGTTTCTGTCATAGAGTAGGTTCCTTAATATAACCGGAAATGCATAGCTGATACCTGATTTTAAAAGTTACTCTTGTGCTTTAACTTTATAAACAGACAACTATCTGTTAATCTACTTGCGCTATATACCTGAATCTAATACGTAATTTCGGTACTTGGCTTGATTTCCCTAGTTCACTATATAACTTATTTATTTTCTATTATTTTAATACCAATGTTAGGTACATTGGTATTAAAATATTATATTATTAATTTGCTGACATAACCTCAAAATCATTCAATGTATATGGTTTATAGAAGTTCTCAGGGGTGTCCGTCAATAATATTTGTTTCTACAGTAATTTATATATAATTTTGAATCTACGAAACTTTTTTTCATGATTATTGGTCTTTAGGCCAAACATGTATGGAAGCTGAGCAATCTCCTTTAACCAAAGTTCTTCAAAATTGACAACCAAGCTAAATTCATACAATGGAATTGCCGTAGTATTCTAAACAGTAAATGATTTAATTTTCCTTCTTAATAAACATGCTCCTTTTATCTTTGTTTTGTCTGAGACATGACTAAAATCTCATCATAAGGTAAAAGCTTATGGATATATTGCTCTCCGTGAAGATAGTCATGATGGCTGTGGTGGTGTAGCTATTCTCATTGAATAATCAGTTCCTTTTACTCGAATTTCTTTACCCACTCATCTTGAAAATATTTCTAAAGTGGCCGTTAAGGTCTATAAGATAGGTGTTGTTTCCATATGTATTTCTGGCCCTTCTATAAATATTTTTTAATGAAGTGAAGCAAAATACTAAGTACCTTAGCTAAACCTTATATGGTTTTAGGTGACTTTAATTGTCACCATCAATCATTGGGTAGCTCCATTACAAACAATTATGGGGAAATATTATTAGATTTTATTGACACTTTAAACATCTGTTTTTTGAATACTGGTAAAAATATTCGAATAACAAAACCTGGACAAAATTATAGTGTAGTTGATTTATCTCTATGTTCACCAAGTCTTGCATCTGGCTTAACATGGGATACACTTTCTTATTCTTATGGCAGTGTGTTCTTGTGGGCACCATTATCCCATTATAATATCCTTTCTTATTTCTAAGCCCGTAACCTCTCGTCGCATTTGTCATCTCAAACATAGACTTCCAAATAAAGAAAGTAAAGACTGGGAAAAATTCTGGCTTTCTTTTTAGACAAAACTATCTTCCCTTCCGCTTATAAATTGTGGATCTGAGCCTGCAGATGAATTATGTAAAGGTGTAGTCTTACGTTTGAAATGGTATTAGTAGCATCATATTACAACAAATTTTGATACAGAAATGTAGTGCAGAAAATTCTGGAGCGGAGTCTAAAAACAGCGTCTCTCGAACATTAGGTAAAAGTAAAAGAGCAGTGTTTCGAAGCATTCCAATCGCAGGACCGGCGGGGGTTTTCCGAACCAGCAATGAGGGGTCGCAGTAAAATTATTAATTCCTCTTGTAATTGCTTTTTAATAAGTTGTCAGAATTCATTAACAGCTAATGACGTTGTTGTGATGAGTCCAGAGTTCTATAGACAGTTTAGCGTGTCACAATGGAATTTAATGGAAATTGAAAACTTCCTTATCATCGAGATTGCGCGGAAGTTTATTTTTTGTCCGACTGGATTACTTGAAGTAACTTTTGGTGTTTGGGACGAGATTGAGTAAAAGCTCTTTTTATAGTGATGCGATTTTGTTTTTAATTTCTTAAATGTTATTGATTTTTGAAATTTGATTACAGGCTTAAACATTATTAGTAGTAGGTAGACCTAATTTAGAAATTCATGCGTATAAAAAGTAATAAAAATTATCTGGGCGAGCAATCTAATACGTCTGTCTACTGTATATCCTAGTATAATAATTTGTAGGATGGTGTTTTTGATATAATTATCCTTGCCTAATTATATCACGATAAGTAACCACATATTCAAACAGTTTTCACAAAAACTGATGCAAACAATATCATTATACATGTACTTACATGCGAAATACAACGATACAACGTTTCGTATCTTTAATTAGGTACGTTGCCTGTGCATATATCATCTTAAACGTAACTATGATGCGACGGCTCACAGCTGAGCATAGGCATTACGGCCTTACTGTTCATATATTATACTTGCGACAATATCAGGTCTTCCTTAGTTTCCTCGAAAACGAATGACGGATCACTTATCAGGAAAACGGAACATAATCGCATCGCACTCTTAAGGTATCCGAATGAAAGAGCCGAAAATACTCTTCTTCCATTAATTAAACAAGAAAACAGATCGTCTAGATAAGACTCTATAAATCTAAATGATGAATAGGTGGGCTCACCGTTCGGATTGGAATTGTAAATTGCTTATTTGTGTGTATTTGCGGTCGTCGAGGGCTGCTGATAAAATGTGCTGTGACGTTTTTAGGCGCGCGACAGTCTTGTATCGAGGCTTTCCAGTGATTAATTGGTCTGTCACCAATTGTAAATGTTACGAGTATCGGAACGTATCGTTAACAAGCACAAATAGTGACGGATTAAATATGTACCTACCTACTTTTGTGTAGTACGTAAACAATGGCAAACCTTAAAAATGGAATGAGATCATGACTTTCATGACGTAAACTTCTTGAAAAAAAGAGAGCTTCTTGGTAATAACGAACAATCATATTACCCTTTAAATAAAACCAGCTTACCAGGAGGTGCTGAAAGTTGTAACTTCAGAAACAACTAGGTATGTAACAACATAGGAGTACTTAATTTGAACATAACTTAGTTTGATTGTAGCATGTAGGTACAGATTTATATTCAGAAGTATGGATAGAGTGTAACAATGTCATTTGCTTGGCTGTTATGCCACAGGTTATGCTCACAACATGCTGAGAACGTCATAAAAGTGCTAGTGTTAAGCAACACGATGGAATTCCATTCCATGGGCGACATTATTTGACGTTGTGGTTGACTGCAATGAGAAGAATTGGCGCCGCTGCCTTTGTGACCTAAAGCAGCTCCCCGACTAGGGTGACTATTTAAAAATTTGGAAAGTCCTGACAAATAGCCAGACATTTCGATAAAAGTCCGGACATTTTAATCATAAAATGCAAACATCACCCACTTAGTTACAGTGATATTATACGCGTGGTCGCGAGGCGAGTCTTGTTGTTGATTCAAAAGATAATTTATATTTGTTTTAAATTAATGAGAACTAAATAAAGATTATTTGACTTATTTGATATAACTTAATAAGTAGTTATACTCATATTCCATCTAGTAAAAAAATCCGGACAAAAGGCAATAAGTCCGGACATGTCCGGACAAATCCGGACGGATGGTAACCCTATCTCCGATGGCCTGTGTTGTTGAAGCCGGGGCCGCGCCGTGCAGTGTTGCCAAATGTATGGATCCTCTTACTTTTGAGATTTAGCAGTCTATACATGGGACGCGGTAAATAGAAATCTCGTACACTTTGATATGAGATTTGAACAATGTTGACTGTTTGTGTCATGTACACTAACGAAAAATATTTTCAGAAAGTAAATAAAAGTCCAGTCCACAAAGAATCGACTCAGTAAGTACAGCTTCATTATGCCATCACAAAGTGTACGAGATTTCTAATTTTGACGGCCGAGTGGTTTGTACGCCTTGTTTCATGGTGTCGCCGACTCCTCTCGAGTCGGGTTCAAATCTCGGTAGGGGCAGATGTTTGGGTGATGAATACGAGCATTTATACTCCAGTCATGGATGTTTAATATGTATTTCTATACAAATATACTTATATATGTACAGTATATGTATTCCATCCGTTAACCTAGTATCCCATAACACAAGCCTTATAGTGCTTACTTTGGAGCTAGGCTAATTGGTGTGAGTGTTGGAAATATTTATTTATTTATTTATTAATTACCTCGAAAATTAAAAATGGAATAAAACGAAAACATACATTTTTTCTCACACGCAGTGATCCTACATGTAACGATCTTATTAATTTCATGTTTTTCCATTTTGAATTTCGAACAATACAAATGCCGAGTTATTTTATAGATAGGTCCGACAAATGAGTCCACCCCACCTGATGTTAAGTGAAGGTGAAGTCCAGACGTGACGATAGCTGATACAGCAGTTTTACCTGCCACACCAGCCATCCTCACCCTGCCGGCCTGCATGTTGCTTCTTCACGCCTCTTTTAAAGGATCCCAGGTTGTAAGAGGGAGGGAACACGTGAGCGGGCAGAGCATTCCATTTACGGATAGTGCGACAAAGAAATGAGTCACCAAATTTCTTTGTACGCGTTGGAATTGTGGCCACAGTTAGACGATGACAACGTAGGCCAGCGCGCGTGGTCCTCTGAAGGAAAGGAGAAGGTGGGATAAGAGAGAATAACTCCTCAGAACACTCGCCGTGGTACAGACGATAGAACGCGCTTAGTGACGCCACGTCACGGCGTAATTGAAGAGGCTCAAGGTGTTTAGTCACCTCCTCATCGCCTA